ATGCTGACTCTCTGTAAACCGCTTAGAGAGGCCTGAAAGGCCTATGAAGCGGTATATAAGTCTACTGCTATTGCTATTGCTATTGCTATTAAATAGGAGACCTTGGAGCAATACCCAAAGGGCTGCTTGGATGCGTGGAAATTTTGAGCTTATCAGTCCTGAATATCTTGACTTTGCAAAAGAAAAAAACCACCCTACTTGGAACTGCCTATATACTCAGGCGTTACCTTAACAGCTCCTAGGTCCTTGATTAGGACTTGGACTGTTAAGTTTTTACCAGTCCCAGGCTGTGAATCGAACTGAAGATTAAATCTTAAATAACAATACTAATCCAACCAACAACACCCACCTATCCTAGGACCTTGGGAAGGACTTGATACATGGGGGAAATGCTAAAATCCAGTCTAAACATTTGCCTGACTGTGCAATGAATAATAACTTAAATGGGTCCCACTGACCCTTTGTGGAGGGAGGGGGGGGTGTCAATATTGATATTTTGGAAAACTCTGGGTTGGACCCTCAGTGCAGACAAATGGAAAGCTGCCAATAGGACCCCCCTCCCACAAAACCGTTGCCAACCATTTAGGGCCTAGAGAAAAGAAGTCCTCCACTTCCCCCCTTGCCTATGAAAATTTATTTATTTCACCTTTATCCCACCTTTATTACCTAATACAGGTAGTCCTCGACTTACAACCATTCATTTAGTGACCATTTGAAGTTACAACGGCACTGGGCCATTTTTCACGCTTACCACTGCAGCATTCCCATGGTCATGTGACCAAAATTCTGATGTTTTGCAACCGGCTCATATTTATGACGGTTGCAGCGTCTCTTGGGGGGGGGGGGTCACGTGATCCCATTTTGTGACTTTCTGACAAGTAAAGTCAATGGGGATTCACTTAACAACCGTGCAAGTAACTTATCAACTGCAGCAATTCATTTAACAAACATGGCAAGAAAGGTAGTCAAACGGGCCAAAATTCACGTAGATATCTCACTTAGCAATGGAAATGTCAGGGTCAACTATGGTCGTAAATCGAGGACTGCCTGTATTCAGGACACACTTGAGAATCAGCCGCCTGAAAAGCAATGGAAAAAGTGAACATAGAGGGAAGGGCTTGGCAAGTAGTAGCCAAGCTTCCCACCCCCACCCCAAATCTCTCCTCAGGAGACCCCTAAATTATGGGATTCCTTCTTTAGGGAAATCCTTAAAGATGAAAATGGGATTAAGAAAATATTAGATTGTGCAGAAATGAGTAGATTAATACTAGCAATTAAACGAAAGGAAGAATCTGATTATTATAATATATGGGGTTATTTTATCATTGGTTATAAAATGAATATGGATAAAAGTATACAATTAAATAATTTAGGAATAGAAATGTTATAATAGGAGATATGTTAAGTTGTAATGTCAAAATAAGAACAGATGTATATAAAGAATTTGGTAGTAAGCTACAACTATTAGGAGAGAAAAAAATTCAGAAGATGAAATACATATAAAAGGAAAGAAAAGAAAAAATGAATTTAAGAGTAGAGGATAGGATAAGCAGAAAACTGAAGAAAAATGGAACATCAAAGAGAATAAAGGATGAGTTAATTGTTAAGAAAGAAGGAAGGGAAAGAAGGGATGTATCAGTAGGTAAATGAAATAGGTGAATAATGCTAATGATATATAGTTAAATAAGATTATATTGTTAATTGCGGATAACCAATTAAGTAAAATGCTTGTTATATTAAAATTAAATTTGAGTATATATGCTACCATCGGGTAGAAGACATCAAAGTTAAGCCAGCCGAACAAATAGGTTTAAAAATAGTTTCTATCCTTAGAGCTGTCAAACTTTTAAATACAACTACAATTATTCCATGCACACGACGCTTTTTTTTTCTTTTTTTGTTTCCGCTATAATTTTGCACCAGTGAGGCTAAAACCAATTTCATTGTATTTATTTTGTACAATGGCAATAAAGACTATACTATACCTATAGAAGTTAGAATAACAAATGGGAAACGAAATGATAAATTTGGTATATTTTCTGAAAGGTTTAGGTGTTAAGAAAAAATGTCAAATTTAAGATGAAAATATGGGGAAGAAAACAAACGGGGCTGAAATTGAAAAAAAGGTAATGTGATGTAAAAAAAAACAATTTATGTATAGGAGAGAATGTAAAAGGGGGAAAACCTGGACAACACTTTGTTTGCAAAAAAAATAAATTTAATTAATTTAATTTAATATTTGTAACAAAAATAATATGTAAAAAAAAAGGAAAGAAAAATAATTGTAGTCAGACGACACCCTGATTGATGCATGATGAAAACCTTTGTTTTAAAAGGAAAATACTATTATTTTTTACAAAAAGTAAATAGACTCCTTCAGTTAGAGGCAGCATTGGCGGGGAGTTCCCCAGGCTTCCCCCCCCCCCCCTCAGCCCCGCCATCAAGGGGGCTTCATTCCCCGTGGAGGGAAGTCAGAGACCGGAGGAGGGGCGCTTGGTAGGCCCCCAGCCCTTATTCCAGCTGCCCCCCAATCCCGCCTCAGGGCTCTCTTCAGAGGCCTCCGCCCACCTCGGCGCGCTGCCGCTGCTTCAGCTCCTGCTGAGCCGAGCGCTGCTTGGCCTTCTCCAGGCGGGCGTTGCCACCTCCGCTGCTGGACCCGGGACCCTCCTTGGCTTTTGCGGGCGGTAGCACCAGCGGCGGCGGCGGGAGCTTCTCGCGGCGGCCACCGCCGGGCTCCATTCCCTTCAGACCGACAAAAGAGGCCGGGCCCAGGAGCGCCGACTCACCGCGCAGGCGCTACGGCCGACCGCGCGAGCGACGTCGCGCGTCCACCATCGAGGACGCGCGCGGCCTAGAGTGGCCTCCCGCCAACACAGGGATAGTCCGACGAGCGCCTCATCGGGCCGGCCGTGCGGGCCACTGTCTGACGTCACAAATCCACCATTGAAGACGCCGCGGCCTAGAGCGGCCTCCCCGCAGAGACAAGGAAATGCAACGAGTGCCTCGCGCCGCGCGAAAGGCCACTGGGGCAGGGCGAACACGGGCCAGTCTTTGTGACGTCACGAATCCACCATCGAGGACGCGGGCAGGCTAGAGCGGCCTCCCCGCAGAGGCAAGAAGTCCGACAAGCGCCTTTCGTCGCGCCAAAGGCCATTCTATGACGTCACGAATCCACCACCGAGGACGGTGCGCAGCCTAGAGTGGCCTCCCCGTAGAGCGTGAGGCCGGAAATCCGTCCGTCGCTTCCGGAAACGAGCCGGAAGCCTTTTCATTCTTACCGAGAAGCGGCTCCGAGACCGTCCGCTTTTCTATTCTCTCTCTCGTTTTCTGGCCTAATTTCCCTCCCCCGCCCGCAGCCGGCGCCTTCCGAGGACGAGGGCGGGCGGAGGGCCGAGGGAAGCGCCGCCATGTCGGTCCCTGCCCCGGGCTGCAGCCTGAAGGACGAGCTGCTGTGCCCCATCTGCCTGGGCCTCTATCAGGAGCCGGTGAGCTTCGGCTGCGAGCATTACTTCTGCCGGCGCTGCATCTCGGAGCACTGGAGCCGCCAGGAGGCCCAGGCGGCTCCGGCCCGCGACTGCCCCGAGTGCCGCCGGGCTTTCTCCGCCCCTGCCCTGGCTCCCAGCCTCAAGCTGGCCAACATCGTCGAGCGCTTCACCGCCTTCCCGCCCGAGGCCGCCCTGGGAGGCGCCGGCAGGGGAGGTCGAGGCGGAGGGACGCCCTGCGGGAAAGCCCACGCCAAAGTCCGCCTCTTTTGCCTGACCGACCGCGCCGTCGTCTGCTTCTTCTGCGACCGGCCCGCCCTCCACGAGCAACACCAGGTCACCGGGCTGGACGAGGCCTTCGAGGAGATGCAGGTCGGAAGGGGGGAGGGGCTTCCCGGGGGGGCATCTCTGTCCTCCCCCCCCAATGCCAGACCATGGAGGAGGGGGCTCCCTGTCTCTCCAGGATGGATGCCAGGCTGGCATGGGGGCAGCTGTGGCAGCGTCTCTGGCATCAGGATGGGTGCCAGGCTGGCCAAGGAGCCCCCTCCCCCTGGGTTGGGCCAGCTGGGGCCCTGCTTTGCCAACCTCACCCGGGCCAGACCATGGAGAATCTCTGCCGCTCCAGGATGGGTGCCATGGGGACAGCTGGGGGGAGGTTTCCTCTTGACTTCCCAAGGTGGGTGCCAGGCCGGCCATGGGTCACTCCTGCTTTCCTGGGCAAGGGCCACTTGGGATCCTGCTTCATCCCCTACCCACTGGGCCAGATCTCTAGAGACTCCCTGCTTCTCCAGGGTAGCATAGGGGCAGCTGGGGAGGGGGTCTCCTCTGGTCCCAGGGTGGCGGTGCCATGCTGGCCATGGGACACTCCTTCCCTGGGTGGTAGCTAGCTGGGATCCTGCTTTGACACACACAGACACACACACCTTCACATGCAACACCAATGTCTAAGACGCTGCAGATCCAGATGAGCGTGGAGACCAATGATAGCAAAGCAAGATCCTTTCCCAACTACAGTGTGCCTGGATTATTATTTTAAATGAGGTTACAATGGAGGACGTGGTGGCTAAGACGCTGAGCTTGTCAATCAGAAAGTTCGGAGGTTCGAATTCCTAGTGCCACGTAACAGAGTGAGCTCCCATTACTTGTCCCAGCCTAGCAGTCCGAAAGCATGTAAAAAATGCAAGTCGAAAAATAGGAACCACCTTTGGTGGGAAGGTCGCAGCGTTCCATGCGCCGTTGACCTTTAGTCATGCCGGTCACATGACCACGGAGATGTCTTTGGACCGCACTGGCTCTTCGGTTTTGAAACAGAGATGAGCACCGGCCGCTAGAGTCGGGAACGACTAGCACATAGGTTCGAGGGGAACTTTTACCTTACCACATGAAAAGGGACTGCTTGCCTCCTCAGGATAGGTGTCAGGCTGGCATGGGCGCAGCTGGAGGGGGGGAGTGTCTATTATGTCTCCAGAGTGGATGCCAGGCTGTCCAAGGGGCACTCCTGCTTCCCTGGGTGCAGGTCACCTTGGGCCCTGCTTTGCACCCCATTCCAAGCCACAAGGACTCTTTGCCTCTCTGGGATAGGTGCCTGACTGGCCAAGGGGCTTCCCGGAGTGGTAGCCAGCTGGGGCCATGCTTTGACACACAAACACACGAAAGGGATTCCTTCCCTCTTCAAGGTGGGTGCAGCCGGGGTCTGCTATGTCTCTGGGATCGGTGCCAGGCTGTCCAAGGCGCACTCCTGCTTCCCTGGGTGTGGGGCTCTGCTCTGCCACTGTGGCAGGATAGCCATGGGGCAGGGGCAGTGAGCTTCCTGTTTCTCTGAGATGGGTGCTCCCAGGGGTGGGTGCCCACTGAGGCTGGGAGGATGAGTCCCACTGTCTCCCCCTATCCTGCCTGAATTGGGTTGGGCACTGCCTAGACACTGCCCAGAGACTCTCACCCCAATGCCGGTCTCATTCCAGAGGGAGCTGAAGGAGCAGCTGCAGACCCTCCAGGACAGCGAGCGTGGGCACACGGAAGCCCTGGTTCTGCTGAAGCATCAGCTGGCCGAGACCAAGGTAAGGGCCAGGCGGGGGGCTCTGCCCTGGACATTCCCATCCCTTGGTGACCGGGACCTACTCAGTGCTTGCTTGCCTGTCTTCCAGTCCTCGGCCAAGGGCTTGCGGGCCACCATCGGTGAAGCCTTTGAGCGACTGCATCGGCTGCTCCGCGACCGCCAGAAGGCCATGCTGGAGGAGCTGGAGGCTGACACGGCCCGGACGCTGACTGACATCGAGCAGAAGATCCAGCGCTACAGCCTGCAGCTGCGTAAAGTGCAGGAAGGTAGCCAGATCCTGCAGGAAAGACTGGCGGAAACCGACAAGCACAACTTCCTGGCGGGCATCGCCTCTCTCTCGGAGAGGTGCGTGGAGCTGGTGGGCAGTGCCAGGAGGTGGGGCTAGGGACACAGCAGAGGCTAATCTCAGTCTCCACCCCCCTCTTCCCCCCCAAAGGCTGAAGGGGAAGATCCACGAAACGAGTCTCACCTATGAGGATTTCCCCACATCGAAATACATGGGGCCTCTGCAGTACACCATCTGGAAATCCCTCTTCCAGGACATCCAGCCAGGTGAGTCAGCTCCTGGCCCAGTTTGGTGGTCGGGAGACCCACTCCAAGGCCTTGAAACCTCCAAAGAGCAACATAACTGCCTCTTGTGGCCCACCAGATTAGGATAGTGAGGATGTTGGGGAAGAACATGGGCCAGTCCTGGAGTCTGGGGAAGGCTCTGATGAGGGCTCTGTGTCAGAGGCAGAG